CACACACACACACACACACACACACACACACACACACACACACACACACACACACACACACACACACACTGTAGTTAAAGACATGTACAAAGTTTACCCTGTCATTTCACGCAGTCCACCGGTCATTTTTGCTTTTGTAATTTACAAGGCCCACACCGTTTTGGCATTTTGGAGTCAGACCTCGGTCCTATCCGTCCAACTGCTAGGTCATTTTAGCCCACAATGTAATCAGTTCCTAAATCCAAACCCATTCACACTCTCACTCATGCTTAAATAAATTCTTACTTATTCACATAATTATTCATCGGGTGGAGTACCACCAGTATATTCCTCCGTCACCTTTTACACCAAATATATACCTTACCTAATGAGGGTCGATGGAGTACTCAACATTCCGCCATCGGCCTTCTTCTTCTTTTTTTGTTTTTTGTTTTGGAACATACAGCAAGAGTACGGACCTATGAAATATCAAACTACATTTTTTAGCATGACTAGAAATTCATAAAGCAATAAAGATTGATTGACACAATAAGTACTAAGAATAAAAAATTTCGGTGCGAAAACAACAACAGCAAAGGATAACAACAACATGAATAAATAAAGGTGCAGACCTACCAAATAACAAATTACATTTTAACAAAACTAACAATTTGAAGACACAAACTAATAAATAAATAACAAGTAACAGATGCAATAATTAACTATCAACTAACTACAATAATTACTACAAAATCCATCCAAATACAGATCAAACGCTCGGGAAGCTAATAGCCGTCCTACGAGGAGGGGATCTCGTCCACAGTTTTACACAATTTAAAAGGCTGCTGTTCTTCATAAAACGGGTGTTTCAGGAGGTTGTGGATAAAAACCATTTACAAAATATGACGCATTGTCCTATGGAAAAGTCCACATCCCCCCCACATCCCGGGGACTAAATGCCCAGCGCGTTTAGAGAGCCCGACCCGAAGACAGCTCCGCATCCGGGCTGAACCCCAAGGGGATTGAACCGACCTCTACCTTAACGATTTCACGTTTACACTTTGATGCCACTATTTTGTAAGAAAGAATTTATGACCTGGTATACGTCCACTCTGTTAAGAGCAAGTAGGCTCTCCCAGCTGACCGGTTTGTTGATTTCTTTTATGTTGTACAGATTTTCAAGGAAGTCTATTCTGGAAGACTCGTATTCTGGACACTCTAAAATCAAATGCTTGATAGTTTCTGGTTGATCACAGGTGGCACAGTTTGGGGACGCTCTACGATCGGCCTTCTTACATTACACATTTACGCCAATACGTTGATTCACGGTTCATCCTGGTACTCAAAATTACTTGTACTAGAAACAATAAAACAGTTTCCTCCAAGAAAGAAACAGGGAAACCAGATACTGCTGCCGTGCGCAAGCACGATTATCATATCGGGTAGACTCCTTCTCGCTCTCTATATAGAGCCAAGGAATTGCACCGTTCAGTTTAGTAGGGCTCGTAAGCAACCTTTCTTTGCATGCAGGAAACACACAGGCTTTGGTTCAAAAGTTCATGTCTGTGTGTGACCCTCGCATGGCCTATCCTTAATCGATTGAGGGGTTCAATCCTTCTTCTTATGTGTATAAGAAATGAAATAATGATTCAAACGCATATTCAACTAATTTCTTGTCTTTATAATAACTGGACCGTCCTAATGATTGTATGTTCTTACTGCGCAATGGGACGGGCACAATCAATATTATTTTCGTGATGTATTACTTAAATTTTTAAGTTCCGACTCTGTCGTCAGGGACACATCGTGTTGTGACATAAATTATGACTCAGGGATGACGAAATAATTACACCTCGGGTGATCCCCTCGGATATTTTTTGTTTATTCTTCTTTTTCTTCGATGAGACTAGTAAGATTTCAATTGATTTTGATAATTACATTAAACAAGAAAAACGCATTAAAAACTGACATTTATTTATGTTTAGAGGATAACATAAACGAACTGTCCTTGGTCAATATATTTTCCGCCAAGATAGCATTGTAAATTTTTATTATTTAGAAAGATAATAAAGTGCTACTTCAATATTTAATTAATTAATAAAGTTTCTGTGATCCGTTTATCAATCTTTATGTTGAATTATTTATTCATAGAATAATAGATTCAACAGCATTTTTTCTATTTATCTTGTTCGTTTTAAATGAATTATTTAATAAAAATAATGTCATGGTTTTCTGGTATTTGAGGTCAATAAATAAATTGTGTAGAATCCAATTACAAAAGTTTGTCATTATTTATTAAAACACATTTTTATGATTGCAGCATGAATGTTTTTTTACAGAAACGACTGTATCTCATTAAAGCCAAGAAAATGTAACTACACTTTAAGTGTTAGGATTGGTCGCATGGGATTCGCAAGACCAACTTTTATTTTAGTCTTCACGTTACTTACAATTGATTATTTATTATATTAGTCTAAACGTCCTTGTAGGAATTCTGGTACTTTTCGGTAGTCATCCTAAGAGCGAATTGTTCCGTCGGAAGGCGGATATTGCAGCTCTAAAAGCTTTTTTCTGTTTTCGCAATCGGGCTTTAATTATTTCCAAACTGCAAAAGACCTTGCCGAACATCTTTCTCGAAGCTTGAACATCGCTCAAAACCTTTCATTCAACCCGTGTAATATTTTTCAGCCGCAAAGTTGTCTAATCCTTTCTGTCGGTCAATAGTTATCAACACAGACTTATTGAGACTTAAAATTCATCACGATTATTGAAAGATTACCTATAAAAGATATATTCTGTAATTTTTGAAGTCAAAAACTGACCTCAGTTCTTAGCGAATCTTGAAAAATCAACGTTTTTTTGGTGACGTTTACGTGTGGAAATAAATATTATAATGTAATTAATAAAAACAAAAAAATACTTGTAATACGCATAATGACATGCATTCCCTTCTAAATTTTCCTTCCTTATGAGTTCCTTTCTAAAATATGGTGTAAACTAGCATTAATAATGCTTTCCAAAAAGAACACAGATCTTGTGGATAGTTGTCAATGAATTAGTGACTATGTGCTTTGACACTTTGTATATAGTGTATCGTCTAATTCGTAATCCATGTAAATCCTAAGGTAAATAATATGTATCGCTATTATCCTTGGCAGTGCGGATTAAGCCAATGTCACCCTAGTACAACAGAGATCAAAAAAGACTTGCCTTATTTTGCAATTCGCACTATAATAACGACCGGGAATAAATGTTTACAAATCGTTCGTTACATATTTAAATTAGGATTAATCATGTCTAATATCCAAGGTAGGGTGTAGCATGCAAATCTCTTACCGAAGAAATGAATATAATGGCAGATAACAAAAGGCAATTTTTATACACTGAAATTTTTTAAAGGTATTTTGTGTTGTCGAAGACAGATGCCAGGTGGTAAATTCTATATGCCTTTGTTTTTGTCTAGTAACGGCTTGCACAATACCATTTCAAAACGAGAAAGTTTTCGTTTCAGGATGCCCGAGTTGGTGTACGAAGATACGGTAGGGGACGTAGAAGCGGACCTGGACCTTTGCACAGTCCCGGATGATGTCAAGGAATTTGCGAGGGTCCGGTTGGGAGAGACGCCCGAGAAGAGGATGGAGATGCTCGACGAACTGCGCGAGCTTATCTACGGTAAGCTTTACAAGTACTTCAAGAAAACCAGTCCAAAAAAATACACAAGCAGCAAAATTTGATCAAAAACAAACAAAAATGTATTAATTTCTAGCTTTAAACATTTAATCGTTACAATCCTAGTAGGGCGGTAGTGTTTGGCTCTGGCGGTAGTATATGGGAAAGTAAACCAGAACTTTTTCTGGCTGAAGTCTTCGAAATTGAGAGATGTATCAGTTCAATCTGAAAAAAGGGTACAAAATAAAGGACGTAATATGAAGACGGATAGCCTGGTAGCCTTCAGAGTACTAAGCTCAAACATTAGTAAATGCTTGTAAGTGCTAATTACTAGACTAAATTAAACGAATTAGGTATACAAAATAAATAATTAATTAAGGTTTTTAGTTGAGATGAAAAAAAGTTAATGGCACGAGAGGGATTCGAACCCACGACCTTCGGCTAGATACGCCGCTGCTCTACCACCTGAGCTATCGTGACCTCGATCCACTCGGACATCAACTCCCCATCTCAACCCCACTCATAAGGTCACGATAGCTCAGGTGGTAGAGCAGCGGCGTATCTAGCCGAAGGTCGTGGGTTCGAATCCCACTCGTGCCATTAACTTTTTTCATCTCAACTAAAAACCTTAATTAATTGGCCAAGCGGACCACGAAAATAGTGAATGAATACAAAATAAGGTTACTCTCGCTGAGTTCGAGGACACGTAGGAGTACAGAGAAAGGAGCAAGCCGTTCTGAGTACTATAGATGAGTACGTATCTTAGACAAAAAGACTCATGAGCATAGATGTAAGTCTGGGGGATCTATTAAGCTTAGACCACAGTAAGGTCAAAGTTGCGCGTTTTTGTTGGGAACAGCCCTGATTCAACTTTGAGCGTCTGTTTGGGGGCTGCCCTGCAACAATAAGTCACGTCTACACTACAGAGGCAGTTCCCTAAAAAATGCCTCAGGAGTAAGATATTTTTTTATCCTTGTTATTATTAATTAAAAATAGAAAAAAAGAAATTAAAGAAGTTAGTGGATCCTAAAATTGTTTAGCAACAACAATAATACATGCCGCAGTCATTTGGACTCATTTGGGGATGGGTTTGTCAACTTTTTAAGAATGACAGATTTTGAAAATCTTTCGCAAATGGTTGCTCCGAAGGTGCTTAAAGAAAACACAAAATTCAGAAAAATTCAATTTCCCATATCGTGAAACTCGCAACCGTACTCCGGCCACCCCAGGAACTACTTTTACAATATTGCGCAACATAGTATCACTTAACCCCGCTTTGATGGGGTAGCAACATTGTATCCCAAGGGGACATGTTGCGGGGCTGAATCTCGTATGAACCAGGAGTGATGAGACCCCCGCAACAATGATGCGCACTTTGAGTCCAAGGTAAGGGCATCGATCAAGAATTCTACTACCACAGTAAGAGCAATGTGTTAGATAATTCAATAAAAAAGTCATCACTAGAGGTTGTACTGAAATTTCATTTCGGGCAAAAAAATCTAGAACGTTTTTCGATTAATAAAACCTTAAACCTCTTAAAAAAACCTTAAATGTGCACTTCCAGACCCAAGTGAAAAGCTGTTCTGGAACTTTGATAGAGATTTTGAGAGTACCCAACAATGCGCAGAAAAAGTAATCAAAATCGTACAAGATCCAAATAATAGCCAAATACTTTTTAGATCCTGATGGAGCAACATCCATTAGAATCAGAGGTCCTTGGGAAGTATGGGTATCCTAAGAAAAATACCGATCTGTTCAAACCACAGGAACCAGGTCATCGTGGCTGTTGAAATATTTGCCTTTACCGAAGAAATGGCGTCCTTTGTTCGAACCGCTCCATCTGTCCTAACCAAAACATAGAAATGTCAAGCCAAGAAAGTACCTTGGCAAACGTTGTGTTGACGCATGCACATTTCAAAATTCATGCTCAATCGAGGACATTGTCGAGCCAAGGTCGAAGAGAAATTATTAAAAGATTACATATTTCATCTCTAACTGAATGTTTTGGCGCGCCGCATAACTCTCGCCAGTTGAACCAAGTCATCGCGAATGGTCGGTTGTCATGACGTTTGTAAAATTTAAAAATGTACGTTCTGTCTGCAAAAAAACGTGCTACCTTTCGACATTGAACGTTGCGATATAGACATTATCTGTTAACCACACGGGGAGCGTAGAGTCAAGAACAACCGGTAGGCAATTTGATACAGAGGTAGCTAACCTGTTTATCTTGAAACGTTTTTTTTCCTCCAGCTGATGAATGAAATCGATAGCCACAATAAAGTGGGAATTGAAATAAAAGTTAAAATTAATAACACGTAAAGCAAACTCTAAAATGTTTTAAAATTAATATAGTTTTTATAGACAAAAATTAAATCTCTAATAATCAATGTTTTACAAAATAGAGCATTTAACAAAATATTTTTATCTAATAAAATTAAAAATATTGTATATAAATTAGAGCTTAAGCTTAGTGCACGTAGTTCCTGTTGTTTCTAACAGAGTAGTTTGTGCAAGTAAAGCTGTTTTATTTTTGGATTTAGTGCAGAAAAGTAGGTTAAGGCAGAAATAAGGTCACGGTTTCAAACCCAGCAAAGCTAAGTTTTGTTTAAGCATAACTTTTTTCACTGTTCTTTTATTATCACCTCCAAAGAGTGCAGTTTTCCTTAAAATTGCGGTAACGCGAAACAGAATGATTTTAACGGAACGAATCTCAAAAGGCGTAACACACAAAAAATTTAAATTATAGAATAGCGTATTTAAAAGATTCGGTGTGGTGAACTGAAAGAAATTGGCTGTGTTGCAACTGTAATTGCGGAGAAAACCGGTCGGACTTAAACGCAAACCACTTTCTTTTGAGGCGAAGCAAAAATAACTGTCCCAGACGCTCTATGGAATAAGAGACAAAAATGATCGATTGATCACACAAATAAATGGCGTTCATTACCGATGATTTAACTTCAAACAGATTTCTCTTAAAAAGTAACCAAGGTTAATCAAGAATTATTTGTAAATTGCTGAATTGTCGCTTGTAAGACCAATTTGATGATTATTAATGAAATAATATTGTTACTGATATTTCATGAACATAATTAATAGTTTTGATTATACTTGAGAGAAACAGATAATATAGTTACCTATCATCTAGGACTGCCCTGATTTTGTCAGTTAGGGTTCACCCCCCCCCCCAGACCATAGGAGGCAATTTCAAAGTAGATAATATTGTAACCAGTGAAATTTATGTAAATTTGAACCATTGTATTGCGATTTCAAACGCTATGTGAAATAACACGGAATACTGTTTTCCTTTGTTCAAAATGTGAATCATGTGAAGAAAACGATAACGATTATCTTCGTAATTTTAGAATTAAGCTTGAACGAAGGTGAATTAACTTAAAAGTAGTAATTTTAGTCATTTACTGGTTGACAATTTCTTCCGGTTGTTTGATTCAATTGTATTCCACCTTACCATTTCATTCATTTATGAAGAATAGGTTTTATTAAGTGCATTTACAATCCTTTTATTTGTGTGCTGTCAGTGAGGAAGATTTAATTGAAATAGGTTTTCTTTTCTTTTTCTCACAGGCTTTTTACAACTACTTCTCCTTAGTAAGTTAGCCTGTCAAATATTTTTCTACATCACAGTAACGAAGGTCAAGTCTTTTGTGTGGTGTGACAAATAAACAAATAAATGTTAGGCTAAACAATTAATTAAGGTTTTAAGTCGAGATAAAAAAGTCGGTGTCACGAGCGGGATTCGAACTCTCGACCTTCAGCTTGATACGCCGCTACTCTACCACTTGAGCTATCGTAACTTCCCATCTCAACCGCACCTTTTGAATTTTGCCTCCGTTTTGCCATTTTTCAAATGTCGTGTGAACTATTTGATTCTCGGCGACAAGTGAAATGACCACGGAGAGCTTTAGTGAAGTATACTTCTTCATTTTAATTCATTAAGTTCACTATTTTTCGTGGTCCGCTTGATCAATTAATATCATACAATTAATTAAGGTTTTAAGTCGAGATAAAAAGTCGCTTTCACGAGAGGGATTCGAACCCACGAATTTCGGCTAGATACGCCGCTACTCTACCGCTTGAGTTATCGTGACGTCGATCCACTCGAGCACTAACTTCTCATCTCAATCCCACCTTTTGAATTTTCCCTCCTTTTTGCTATTTTTCATTTGTCGCCGAGAATCAAATTGATTACACGACATTCGAAAGGTGTCGTTGAGATGGGAAGTTAGTGTCCGAGGGGATCGAGGTCACGATAGCTCAAGTGGTAAGCAGCAGCGTATCAAGCCAAAGGTCGTGAGTTCGAATCCCGCTCGTGATACCAACTTTTTTATCTCGACTTAAAACCTTAATTAATTGTATGATATTAATTGGTCAAGCGGACCAAGAAAAATAGTGAACTTAATGGAGTTAGGCTAAACTATCTTCCATTACATAATTCTTGAGGATTGTGAAGCTTTACAATAAGTATTACTGAAGAGAATGAATTTACGAGCAATCGAAGTCAAACTAAAGTAGCAAAAGCATGGATTTACTTATGTTGCGTTTAGAATGAATAAATATTTCAAGCAATCTAGTAAACCAAGGTGAGAAGCAGTGACAAAAAAAAAAAAAAATCGTTCCTGGTTAATTGTGTCTAAGACCTATTGTTATATGACCTTGCCATAATCTAAGGTCTTTCCTGCATGTTATTCACATGTGCCCTGTATCATGGGGCTGGTGATATGCCCTCGTTGTAAGGTTGTAACGACCCCCCCCCCGCCGTATATCATACATTTATTGTTTTATTACATTTACAATTATTACATTTATTCTGGTTAGCAATTTTTGTCTTTTATTAATAAACCAGCATTTGTCTCAAAATATGGACAAAAAATCATCTATAATTAACGTATTGTACTTTTTCAGGCAATAGGGCCAGTTTTAGCTCAATTTTTTGTAGAATTGGTTGGTGATTAGTGACCGTTGGTCGATGATTATTCAGAAATCGTGAGATGCGGTTTGGTGTGATGTAGGTTTCAGAAAAACATTTTCTTTATCGTGCCACCGTTTCGATCTTTATAGAGATCATCTTCAGGGCCTGGGATTTACAAACATTGTTTAAATTTAACAAAAACATGTAGGATGTGGAAAAAAGTGAATTTATACAACGCAAAAAATATTTTTTATATACAGTCAGATTTTCAGTTGAATTCAATAATCAGAAGGTCGCATACTTGTTTTTTTTTTGTTTATTAACGAATTTAAATACAATATCTTTATTTTTCTTCTTCTACTTATAGGTTACCGTTTAATAATCGTGGGCGATCAGTTGACTAATCAATTGTTATCATCCATCGAGTTATACATTATACAGAATTTCAACGATCATTTGTAATTATATTATTCAATGAAAGTTAAAGAAAGGACGAAGGAGAAAAGGTAGTCGAGGTAATAAGTGCGTCTTCATGCCAGGGAATTGAAGTCGCCAAATCGAAAAGGATGATTCCTTGACCGTTGATTTACGTTATACAACAGGCGAGGCACGACGCGGACGAAACCGTACCAGTACCACACCACTACTCGCTGATTTGTTGCCATTTGCCATAGTCGCGGATACTCTTTCTCTCTCTCTCTCTCTCTCTCTCTCTGTCTCTCTCTCTCTCTCTCTCTCTCTGTCTCTCTCTCTCTCTCTCTCTCTCTGTCTCTCTCTCTCTCTCTCTCTCTCACTGTCTGTCTGTCTCTCTCTCTCTCTGTCTGTCTGTCTGTCTGTCTGTCTCTCTCTCTCTCTCTCTCTCTCTCTCTCTCTCTCTCTCTCTCTCTCTCTCTGTGTGTGTGTGGTTCGGTTAGTTTTATTTTTGATATGTCGTTTCGTTTTGTTTATTTAAAACATATACTTTTACAATTACAAAAAAAACATTACAAAAAAAAGAAATTTTACAATTTTCTTGTTCGACTTAATTGTTAATACTTCCGCCGTGTATTTTTGACGATAATTTTAAGATTTTGATTCCTTTGTTTCAGAAAGGGGCGAATTCGAACCATTGCGCATGGACGACGACTACTTGACTCGATTTCTCAGAGCGAGAAACTACAAACTGGAGCCGACCTACAGGCTGGTAAGCGTTTTGGTCAGCCTTCATAAACTTGAGCAACCGAGGAATGCTACGGCCCCGTTTGTTTTTACACCGCACAATAAATATACCAAGAAAATACTTAGGTTTTAATATAGCAATATAGCATACAGGGTTTCGTTGTTAGTGGCCTGGCTGAATTTCTCTTAAACTGATAATCTTATCGAAAAAGCAGCAACAAGTACAGCTTTGAAATTTTAAATGAGAACTACACCGTTTTACCCACTTTTTTAAAAGGATTTTTAACACTGAAGACAATGGCGGAATCAGATTTTAAACGGATAAAAAACAAGTTGACACATAATGTGAAAATAAATATCTTAATTTTGTTTTTATTATTAAGTATTTTCATTTTGCTGTTTTGATGCTAGTATGTTTTATGTATTTTTGGGATGGTATTGATGAATCTGCTAGCAGTGGGTAAGCACGTTTTTAGTAAATAAACGGTTTCTTAAAAAAATGTACTCTCAATTTACATCAAGAACAACAAACAGGCACGGGCACCTGCTCTTGGGCCAAAGCCCACGCAGGTGCCCCTTATGCAGAGAAAGGTTGCTCGATGTGTCCCTCATACTGAAAACTACAGGGAGCGTGTAGGCATGCCATCCAATCTGAAAATGGTACTCGAGTACTGCAGCGGGTTTCTGGGTCCCCTGTTCCGCTTTTTAGGGGAAATTGTTTTTTTTTTATTGTATATAATATGCCTTATGTGTTGTGTGTCTATATGTTATGTCTGAGTGCATGTATTTTTTTTTAGCGTGAATGGCGAGGGGTGAGGGTGAAATATAACGTCATCATCGCTCCTCGAACTTTGAGAGTGTATGAGTGTGTATTGGGGGTCGATGGCGGAATATTTATAAAAATACTCCATCGACTCCAATCTACAATAGATTAGTTTGAGTATATATAGAATGTGTGTACTGTATGGATATTTATTTGTATGAATGTAGAGTTTGAAAGGGTAAATAGAATATAGGCTTAGTTGGGGGCTGAAATGACCAAGATGTTGGAAGCGCCCCCCCCCCCCAAAAAAAAGGAACAGAGACGTTCGAAACATGTTCGTTTTTAAAGAAATACAACCAATTATTAACTAAAAACGTGCGTACCCACGGCTAACAGACCCATCAACATCTGGGGTTGTTGGTCCCCAAGAACAAACAACATATTCTTCTCGTCTCAAGAAATTCATAAGTATTTAGATAAAATGTGGCCATTAATTTTTTTTCTCTGCTCTGTCATTGTTTTGATATTGTTTGTTCAACTGATCTTATTGGATTTAGACAACAAGAAATGCACTGAAGCTAAATTCCAACTTTTTTTCAACTCAATTAACTTTAAATATCCTTCAATAACGGGTAGAATTGTAGACAACATGAAATGCTTTGAAGCTAAATTCCAACTTTTTTTAACTCAATGAACTTTAAATATCCTTCAATAACGGGTAGAATTATGTGCATTTTTAGTGAACGTTGATTAACAATTTGTTGGAGCCGTGATGGACGGTCAAGAACGAGGTAGTTTAGAAAAACACCTTTTTAATTTTTTTTTTGCCGACGTTTGGATTCGGATCATATTCAGGGCATAAAGTATGGCGCTATGCTTGTAGTGTCATGTTGGTTTTGTGGGAAATTGTTGTGACAAACTCGCAACAACTTCCTACACTTTATGCCCTGAGGATGACCCGAATAAAAGTCCAAACGTCGGTAAAAAAATGGAAAGGGGTTTTTCTAAACTATCTCATTCTTGACCGCTCCTCACGAATCCAACAAATTTTCTTCAATAAGCTTTTATCAGTGAGTCAAAATGAGTCAAAGTGAAGGAATTGCTCATCATGCAGTCGAGTTGTACCCAGAAGAAATTTTCCAATCGATTTTGGGTGTTGTGGTTCACTTTGCTTAATCGTAGTATACACGACATAAGGAGACGTGTATCCGTTAGGGGCCCATCAAGAAACAGACCACATAATTTGATGAAGAGCTAAATATTTTATTGTATATTCTCTCCACTCCTCCCTTCGAAAGTCTAGAGAAGTGTTTCGATACATCGAGATTAGCGATATTCTCAGAACATACAATTTTAAACCGTATCGATCTCATCTTTCCTGGGGCTTGATTGGAAGTTAATGCCCTTCCAGAGAGGTTGATTTGGAATATAGAAAATACTATTCTCCTATACATCCTATGAACTGATGAATCCAAGTCAGAAAGGGTAGTCTGAATCGGTGGAAGCATGTGGTGGGCACATGAAAGCCCCCGAATCAGGTTTCCATGTCATAACAAAATTGAACAACAACACATTCTGTGTCATAACTTTATTATTCTTCGACCAATTTAAGATTGCGCCATCGTTTTAAATGCAAAAAATCCTTTTAAAAAAGTGGGCAAAACGGTGTAGCGCTCATTCAAAATTTTAAAGTTGTTCTTGCTCTGAACTATCTGACTATAAAAAATGGTTAAAAATTTACAACTAGACTAAAAATATTAGTTTTTGTTTTGTCGATAACGTTAACTGTTCAAAGTTAATCCGAGCCATATACGGTAAAAACGAAACCTTATTTTTAAATAGTTTTTTTCAGTAGCAGGCCCACACACATACAAACATCTACATCCATTAAAGACTGTCGTACATATAATTACGTATATACAATTTGGACAGTGCTTGTATACATTACGTTTTACACTCTTTATTCTGTAATTTGTGTTGCTGTATTGTCAGGTTATAATAGTCTAACGTAATGTGACTACAGTCTTCACAAGAAAAAAAATCTTACCGTTAGAATAATTGTATCTTTTGAGAAGACTACTGTTTCCTTCCCAGCGTTGATTAAAATCCTAGATGTGAACCCTTATTTATGTACAATTATGACGTTTACAACAGCTTTTCCCAGTGCATTCGTTGCGATGTGAAGCCATATTTCGTAACTCATAACAGGGGCCACTTTGCATCGGTTGCACAATTCGGCTGCCCACTCGTGGATACCTCTTGCGGATTTGCTCCAATAACCTGCAGCCGTTGGAAATCCGGCATGGAATATTACCTTAGTAATCCAAGGTCAAGAATCGATATCCATGACCGCTCCATAGAAAAAAAATCCGTTAACAATGAATTAATAATTTCAAAATATCGATAAAGGCTTGGATAGAACCCGGCAAGAAACTCTTTTGAGGTGAAAGCGTGGGTGAAAGGCTTAAATATAAAACCAAATACTCAAAAATTACAATTCATCTATTCATTGTTTATGGACACAATTGTCCAAGACGAAATCCTAAATGTAACTATCTCGCCTGTATCACATTGACTGAATACTAGCTATATAGTTATTCAGATATCGTGAGATGCTGTCGTGCACGACAAAGAAAATGTTTTTCTGAAACCTACATCACACCCGACCGCATCTCACGATATCTGAATAACTATCGATTAACGGTCACTAATCTCTACACACACTAGCTATATAGTTCATTATTGTTCCCCTCAGACGTGCGATACCTGCGAAGCGAAATGTGAAAACAGTTCAATGGGTAGTTGACGTATAAAGATAAGTTTCTAGTTATGAAGAGATAACCCGCCAGATTTAGAATGTTACCGGGCAAGTTAATAGCGGATTCATTTCTCAATAGATTCCCGGTGTGTTGCACATGCCGGTCAATACTGGAACCGGTTGTGTGATTGTCAGCCTTTTCATCGTATACTGAGCATTCCGGGGTAAATTGTACTTCAAGTTTTCTTAATAGCTGTTTATATATTAGCCAATGAAATTTTTGTCTTCCTATTTGTTAAAAACGACGGTTCAAATACAATTTAACACGGCATGATTTCGGTTTGATGTTTCCTCTCCGACCACTTTTCTTCATATGAGAACAAGTCTAAATGTTCCTGTTCTAAAACTTACAAAAAAATGGCCTTCGCCCTGTAAAAGTCCAAAGGCAGTCTCCTAAATAGCTCTTATTAAACATAATTATTATATTCATGGAGTCAATTTTCCGGCATTTAGAATGTTTTTCGTTTCTGTATAATTATGAAAAAAAAATTCAAGGGCCAGTATATATGTGCTATTAAATCTCACTGTCGTATTTGGTTTGGGTTCATTACTGAAGATTCGTTGAATTGGAACATCGGCTTTCCTTTACAATTTTTAAAACTGGTAAACTTTCTATGAAAAATGCTAATAAACGCACATTTGAATAAATTATTGCTAAGCGTTTTAGCTGACCTTAGCTTCTTCTTCGACCGTTTTATTTTTGGCAAATAAACAAAACGACAGAAACAGAAAAAATTAAACATTATAATTTCAATGTGCTCAATGTTTATTACAACTTAATACAACAATAAATAAACGACCATTTAAATAGTTTTTAAATTCATATCAGATCAACAAACTCACTTCACAATGGCCTCGACATCATTAGTTCTCTCAGATTGCTGTCGATCCTTCTTGACTTCATAATTATAAGTCACAATTCGGTTATTAAAGATCCAGAATAGGTCGGATTATGTAGTGTTGACACTATGAAAAAAAAAAGTAATTTTACATGTAGCACATAATCCTTTAGTTATGATGATATAAAAGTTTATTTAGAAAAGAAAACAAAATATTACGTTTTTTTTATAAAATAACAAAATAATACTTGTAATGGCATGATCTAGTCGTCTGCCAGTTGACCCTTACATATTTACATTCAAAAAAAACTTAAATTAACATACAAATTATAAACTTAACATAAAATTATCTCTGCAATTCAGCGCATCTATAATATATCTATACAAACTAAACCAATCTTTCCCATTTAAATGGTCTATATACTCACGGAATGTCAAACGACATCTGTGGAACCAAATTAACCTAACGTTCTCCAAAGTTGGACAAACTGCCAAAAAATTAAACAAATCTTCCACCGTTTTTAGTTTACATATATATCATGCTTGGTCTCTTTCCTTCGGGCTGGAGTTGGAAAATCAGTACTTACAAGTACAAAGTACGAGTA